CCGCCGCACCGCCGCCCGGGAGGTAGGCAGCTCATCCTACTCCGGCGCCGCGCCGCCAGCCTGCCGCTCTGGCGGGCGGGACAAGTGCAGAGCAGGTGACTGTTGTTGTTTATGTCGTTTCCGTCGTTTTCGTCGTCTTTCGCCGTTTTTATCGTCGATGTTGTTTATGTTGCTTGCAATGTTTATGTGTCTGTTTTTATTTTGTTTTTAATTTTTTGGCGTTGTCGACGCGATGCAATCCTCTTTTATTTGTAGCTTATTGTAACTATCATCTGAAATAAAAGACAAAAACGTGTGGGTCCCTCCCCATATTCACGACACACCTTCGGTAGTTGATGAACAATTGCAAGACGCCGCGACGACGACGACGGCTTGTCCAACTAGAACTATGCGCCAGATGCCAGATCACTCGCAAGACGCATGAAGCGCAAAACTCGTCCTCGTCCATTGCGACTGCGACACCTGTGTGCCAAAAGCAGACAAGGTGTCTGAGAAACGCTCTCCGTAACACGGGCGACTCATCCATCCACAATCACAGAGCGTATTCAATTATTCGTTTCTATTACCCATACGCCCACGGCCGACGCAAATAGTTCCTTTAATTAAAGAGACCAGATGCAATTGTATTTTCGTGCCAAAACGAAAAGAATGTGCAGCAGTTTCCAAGATTTACAACACAGCTGGATGGTGATGGCGGTGACCGTTACGTCTCTATACGTCATGCACAGAAAGCTATAGCTCTCTGGGAGCCTCCGTGTGGGCTCGTGTCTCGGCCTTTATGTCCTCTTGATTCTAGAGTGATATAATAATAATTATTCTACCGCGCTTGAGATCAGCAAGATTCCTATGTCTCTCTGGGTGGGGCAGCCGCCGCCGAGGAGGACTGGAGTCTGGAGTTGGCCGTCAGTCAAATGAGCTCACGAGTGGGCGGGCTCCACCACCGCGATAGTTTGTCGCGATAGTTTGTCGCTACACTAACTTCCCGGAGACACACATGCTCCGTGCCGCCGCCGGAAAGTATACGGTAATCCGAAGCCGCGCGTTTCGCCGCTCAATAAGTATTTTATCCCCGAGGTGGTATGCGCCGTTTAGCACAAGTGTGGTGCCTCGTGTGGTGCATTAATTTCTGCGCACTTTGCGTCACTTTGCGTGCGACAAAGTTGTTTGAGCGGCGACAGGCAGCAGCGGCGCGCAACCAAGTAGTATGTGCTGGGTACCCCCGGAACGAACGGCCGGCACGCCCCCGCGCAACCATACTAAACCCACGCCCTACAACTTTGTTTGCATCTCTTTTATGGCCAAAAATTAGCGCACACATGGCTACAAAATCTGAGCGTTAGTGTCCAGGAAGCACCGAGCACCGTCGTCGTCGCCACACCCGAACCCGAGCTCCCGTCCGGCCCTGTTCTAAACGAGAAGAAAGAGAGGTGGGGAGATTTTTTTATCCTTCCGGTAGTGACAGTCTTCGGGACTGTCGAACAATTACGATTCGTCAATTAAGAGCAAATTTTTGTTGCTACCAAAGTCCGCAAGGGGAAGGGGCTAGAGCTGTGTGCCGCGCCTCTGCAAGTGTTTTTTTTTTTCTCTGTCTTGCGCGCGCATTTTCAAATGGACGGTTTCAGGTCGCGGCAGCGACGACGCAGGCTCCAGTGGTTAATTCCGTTTAACGGCCTATATGACGGACCCAGCGACCGACGGCAGCGCTTATCCCGCAGAGCGGTCGCTCCCGTGAGCTCCTAGAGTCCTATACCACTATACTGTGAGCCCGAGGCTACTTACTGCACCTCGTCGCAGCGCCACGCCGTGCCACGACCTTCGCCTGTCTTCGGCCTGGTCTGGTCTGGTCTGCTCCTTGCCTCGCACGGTCGCGTCTCTTCACCTCATTTCTATACATGCCCCCCGCACTAATGAAATCAGCAATCTGAATAAAATATCTTTTAATTTCCCCCCTTTTGCTTGATTGTTGCTGCTGCACCGTTGCAACCGCGCGTCGCCAGCGGAAGTCGTCGTTTCTTCTTCATAAAGCAGTTTGAGAGGCGTACGTAATTCTTTGTGAGTAGTGTGCTCTGGCACTTGGGTGTCGATGATGGTGCTGCTGAGACCCAGAGGACAGATGTTTGTCTCATGACATCTTACGACGTCATTTCCAACTGGCAAAGTGACAAAATTTTGTCAAATTTGTCAAAATTTAGTCATCTTGACTGTCAGAAAGGACGTGAAAGGATATCACGCGCGTGACAAATTTCTGACCTCTGGGGAAAGATGAGCGACGACCACCCGCGATCGGACTTCTAGCTAAGAAACAAACTTCAATTTTTCCTTCATCTTCCTGTTTTTTTTCTGTATCTTATTATTTCTTTACGAAAGAAGTTTGTTGTTGTATTTTGCATTGTCTTTCCGCGTCTCCCCCTGTGCCGTCCGTCCGTCCAGTGCGTGCCGGCGGCGCGCCAGGCAGCAGGGGGGAGGGGGGGGGGACTCCGCCTATTGACCATCCGCATTTCCTTGTTCCTGGTCTTATTTGTGGTCAAACTCGGCCATAACTCAACTATCTATGCCTAAGCGAGGTGGGGCGAGGCGAGGCGGGGCGGGGCGGGGTGGAGTGGTGAGGTGGGTGTGGCACGGCCGGCGCGGCACCGGCGGACCAGCAACCAGCAGCACCCACAGCAAAGGGACTTCCCTCGACGTCGCCGGCGAAAGCAACGACCTTGACAGAGCGCCCAGTAACACCACAACACCCACAACCTTAACCACACCATCGCGATGGTTAACTCTTTTGGTTCCGGGGACCACGATCACGCAATGAACGTGTTTTTGCGACAATACAATCGCGACAAGTATGGCTCAATGCCAAAAGTCGGTCCAAATCACGTCAAATAAGGCTGTCTGCATGAAGTCTTATTTGACCGTGGCCTCTGTGCTAACTACCATAAGATGGTTACCTGTCACTGGGCCACAGCGTGCCCCGCCCCCCCTCCTCTCCTCCTGCCTACGACTGTGATAACGACAGACAGTGCGTCGATGATGGCGCTCCGCGAGAGAGGAACCTCTCCGCGCCCCACTCCGGCGGCGGGGCGGGGCGAGGCTGGGCAGCGACCCCGGCGGCGGCAGGCGGCGGTGGCGATCTTATAAAACTTGACCGCGCCGTCGTCGCCGACTTCTTGACCGTCCGAGTGTCGAGCGCGTGTCGCATCGCGCGCGCGAGAGAGGCGAAGCGCGAAGCCCACGCGGCGCACCGGACGACTGGCTGCGAGCAGGAGGCGGTAGTATAAGGGCCCCCCGAGTGCCTTTGGCTGCGCCTTGCCGTTTACGATGGCCCCCCGCGTGGAGGCCTTGCACAACGAGGATGGCCCCCTGGGCCCGCCCGCGGCCGCGGCCCCCAGTGCGGGCGCTATGGGCTCGCGGGACGGAGCCGCCGAGGCCTGCCTGCCGCTCGCGCTGCTCGAGCCCAAGAAGGCCGCCGCCGTGGCCGACGCGGAGGACGCGACCGCGACCGCCGGCGAGGACGCCGACGACGGCGGACGACCCCCCGCGGACGCCGACGACGGCGACCTCATAGACTTCGACGACGTGCTGCCGCACGTGGGCGAGTTCGGCGTGTCGCAGAAGTGCCTGTTCCTGCTCATGATACCGTTCGCCTGGTTCGTCGCCTTCGTCTACTTCAGCCAAATCTTCATCACGCTGGTGCCCGAGGGCCACTGGTGCAGGATACCCGAGCTGCAGGACCTCAAGCTGGTTGAGAGGTAGGTGAGGTGCTCAGCATGACTAGGGAGCTATTTTCAGGGACTCTTTGGGCTTCCCTGTTTACCCACACCCTCGCCCCCGCCGAGCCGCAGCGCGGTGTAAACACTAAGGCGTTGCAACACTTAAAGCGCTCATTAAGTTAGGTCCGCGTGAGGTTGGAAACTTCCAAAATTTTCAGGAAAATGTTATGAAAAATTCCCGAAAATAACGGAAACTTCCAAAGAACGAGAATTTTTTCAATTTTTCTCGGAAATTTTCCGTTTTTTTTCGGAAATTTTCCTAAAATTTTTCGGAAACTTTCCAGGGCTTCCCACCCTACCCAGCGGGCACGCAGGTGGTACCGGTTACAGCTTTATGGCTTTCTCGATCTGCTTATTTCAAACGAATCAAGTCAAAGCACCCGCGTCGCACACGCGCGCGCCGGCCGTGCCCTGTCCTTGGGGAGCTCGTTATATTGGGTGCGTATGATGTATCGGCCGAGAGTCCTTCCGCCCGGCCGTGGCCCGCGCCGCCGGCGCTTCCTATAGGGCCGGAGGAGCTGCTGTGCTGTGCAGCGCGGCGGCCACAGCAGCTTCCTCCTCTCCTATCCGATCTTTGCGAGGCGAGAGACGGGCGGCGGCGGCGGCGGATATGGGACCTTACAGCGCGCTAAACTGTCCAGACCGGGAGCGCTGGCGCTCTGTCCATTCCAGGATCGCCACCTCCCGTCAACACGCACCACACGCACACGCACCACACGCACACCAACTTGCTGGGCGTGGCGTGGCTGTGGCCGTGGCTGTGGCTGTGGCTGTGGCTGTGGCTGTGGCTGTGGCTGTGGCTGTGGCTGTGGCTGTGGCTGTGGCTGTGGCTGTGACGTGGTTGTGGCGTGGCTATGGACTGGCGGCCCCCCAGAGCGCCAGCGCCAAAGGACCGCCGCGTCTCACTACACCTGCAGCACTGGTAACTGCATGCACTGCACAACCACTGCACAACCACTGCGCAACCACTGCGCACCGGCGCCGAGTGCACCGCAGTGCACCGTCACCCGCGGACGCTTTATTTTGTCTGTCGCGCGTTGGCGCCGCTGCGCTTCCCTGCGCTTCCTGGAGCAGCCGTTGCAGTGCTGCCTGGAGCACGCAGTACAGTAGTATAGTAGTAGCAGTAGCAGGTGCCACCGGAGACCTTGGAGGTACCCGCGGCACGGTCCAGCCCCAGCCTCCCGAAGTGCGCTTTTGAAAGATCATTAGGCCCGTTTAGCGAACGGGGTAACGGTGGCGGGGAAGAGGAAGGGAGAGGGGGGGAGGGGCGTTCTAGCCCGCTTGGGCCGCTCCCGTGTGTTATAGGTGGGGAGAGGGAGAAGGGGGGGCAGTCCCGGGGCGCTACAACAAGGAACTCTAATGCTCGCGGCACACCCGGAGCCCGCCAAGGTGGCTGATGTTGGCGCCGCCGCCGCCGTCGTTGAAAGGATCCTCTCCGCTTTGCTTCTGTTCGGTTCGGTTCCGGGTGCCGCGGGGCGGGGCGGGGCGGGGCGGGGCGGGGCG